GGAAAATGATTAGCTCCAATTTTTTTGAAAGTTTTCGTTTACTATCTGAGAAGAGGATAATTTCAAATGGGATTCGTTGGTCCCCATTGTGTGCAAATTTCCAAATGATGCATTAAATAGGATAAGTTAAGACCATGAAATTGAAATGAGGTGCTGTGCAAGTGGATGATGTAAAGTATTAAAACCGGCAGATATCAGTGTAAATTGCTGAATTAGTAAGTTTCACTTCCATTGGGAATTAAATGTAGAGAGTTTATGCACCACCAGGTTAACTTAAATAAATGCGTAGGTGATATTGAGAGCAAAAATCTGACGACAATTATTTTGTGGACACAGTTAGCAGATCTCTTTTCATGTGGTCTTTATACTGAGAGGAACGGAAAGCACTGGCAGTGCACTGATTGGTCTGGTAATGATTTCACACCACACGCTATTTCTTTCTGTAAATAGTTCGATGTTTATTTTGATTATGTGCTTACTATATGAGATGGACACTTTATCGATGAAGCAAAACATTGAGAAAATTCTATTTCACAGTGGGTGTGTGTGTGAAAATATTGGCAGGTGGGATCGCGTCACCACTTATCGGAGTTTTCATGTGCCAGCTTGATGAAATTCAGGATTTTTTTTTTATACTTTGCCAATTTTCTCCCTTCCTAAATGTGACTCCTTTTCTCTTCTAACGAGGCGCGGTTACATGGGCAATGTCAATCTCTGCTACTTCAAGTCAGAACCTTGGAGAAATGTATGAGATAGTTATAAGAATGCACAAGATATCCTAGCTGAGAGCCTGATTCTGTACTCAGTCACACTTGCACACCTCTCGGCAGGATAACATTAAGGAGTGGAATCTCTGGCTGATATTCCCCTCCCTAAACTTGCTTTTGCCAAGGTCATTTGTAGCATCATTACTGTTGCTTTTGGCTGATATCAGTTCTTTGAGCACAGACCAGAGATTGAATGCAAGGTCCTTTTCAAGACTCACCTCTTCGACCGTACTTTTGGTTATCTTTCCCCTCCCCACTAACCTCAGCTCCCATTCCTAGCTCGGGAGCCAAGCCAGCATTGTTAAGCACTTTGGGATGTACTTCCGACATTATAAATGTAAATTTGTATTGAATCAGGGACTCTCCTAGTTCAGCCGAATAAACCAGCTGAGCCATTGGGGAATCAATGATCAGGGGAGCAAGTAATCAATGCTCTTCCAACTTCCGTGCTTAATAATCCTTGAATTTGATAAAACCCCTTGTCACATCAGCAAGACACCTCAAAGTGCTTCATAGGATTTTACTGTGAAGTGTCGTGACTGTGTATTTGTAGGTGAATGAAACATCAATAACTAACTCACATGCAATGAGGATTCTGTACAAGTGCAGCCCAGCTCAAGCACTGCAGCAAACTGAAGCTAACTAAAAAAATGTTACCTCATGAGTCTATAATTCAAAGTCTGAAACGTCTCTCTAACAAGGTCTCACATTTAAGGTGCAAAGTCTTCAGAAGGTCTGCTGCCTTCAATCTGCAAACAACCATCTCCCAAGGGAGCATTAGTGCTCACATCCTGAGCGCTAAATATTTTGAGTTCTGCTAATCCTTTGGGAAATGAATGGGGTGAGCTAAGCCTGTATCAGCGAGACAGGTTTATTTATGCGAGCAGTTTTAAACGGTCATTTTTAATACAAAACGTTGCTAAGCTGCTGTAAATCTTTTATAAATCCAGCCAGCACTGGCAGGAAGAGAGAGAGAGAAATGCCTCCTGTAACTTAACCGAATAGAATCTGCAATTGCAGAATGAAAAAATAACACAATAGAAATTACAAAATAAAATGTATGTAATCCATGTCAGTCTTTCAAATCCTCTTCTTCCTTATTGTATCCCTGTTGGATCTTTGGAAACAATGGAAGCCGCACCTGCTCTTCCACTGCTTTATCTCTGGTCTTGACGTACAATAATGTAATAATGATCCTTGCATTTGATGTAGCTCCTTATCAAGTTGTCAAGGTGTCTCAAAGAGTTTCCCAGGATTTTACTGTGAAGGATAGCTGACTGTGTAATTTGTGGGAGAATGCGGGAGGTGATTTACGCACAGCAATGTCTCACAAACAGCCATGAATTGATTGAACAATTTTTTTTATTTGGAGGATTACATTGAATTATATTTTATTTTGGAGTATTAATGTACTGTATATAATCCATACTGAACATGATTACAATCCATACTCGTCTCGCCTACAAAATATACAGTCAATTCACTTTACAGTATGTTAAGTGAAGCGCTTTGAGACCTCTAGAAGACATGAAAAGCGCTATATCAAAATGCAAGGATTTTAAATTTATTATTATTATACTCTACACAGTAATGATCCATACTGTACACAATCCGTATTGTACATGAATGAGATCAATATTGTCCCCAATCCACACAGTTCACAAGCCATAATGTACACAATCACAATCTGTACTATTCTTGATCCATACAGATCCATGGGGTCAGCTGTATTCTGCTCAGAACCACCAGAAATCTATGAGAAACACCTTATTGATTCTTTAACTTTTCCCACCAATGGGTACTCTTCATCACCAGCAACAGAGTATTATCACATCCTTTTTAGTAATTTTCTAGTAGGCATCAATTAGCAGGGATTTTCTGGTCTTTGAAATCCAACAGGTGCTTTCACTTGGGAACCTGAGAGCACAAGAAAATTAACAGTGGGGAAAAGCTCCTGGGGACTGGTGAGATAAGTCTACTCCTGTCACAAACCATGTGAAATAGACCCAATAGTGCACTTCATGTCACCCATCACAAGTGACCATGAGAAATCAAAGATAATTGAATAAAATTCTAAAATATTCCTAAATCCCTGTAGCTCCACTATTCACTAATCTCCACCCTGCTCTGTTAGCCACTACTCATAGGATCTCCAATCCCCTCCCAGGGGAGAAATTCCACCTTGAACTAGGCTTTTGATCTCAGCACTTCACATCCTGTAGAACGTGGCAAATTCTTTAAGACAGTCTTAAAATGAAAAAGTTTTTCAGTGGGTTCTTTGAAAACAACAGAAATTTGGCTTTAATCTGAGACTGTGTTTAGGAATGGGCCAAATTCTTGCCCTTCTGAAATTCTAAGGTAGTAGGTCAAGAGCAAGGTGGACTTTCTGCCCTTCCCAAGCAGTACAGAAATCCCTGTGTCTTGTGTAGGATTTGTCTATTTTAGGCTTTCCAAATACTCCTCTATTTTGTTGCCACACAAAAGTGTTGACCAACAAAATGTAACAGATCTTTTCCTTTCAAACACAACACAGTGCTTGAAATGCCCGAAGCTCACTGTGTAAAATCAATGAGAATCTGATAGAAGGTACCAAATGCCTCCGCAAATCTCCAAGTTCAGATGAAGCCAAAACACATGAATGCTTGTATCCCCTGCACTGTAAGATCGATCTGCATTAAAATACCTACTTAGAACCAAATTTTTTGAAACTGTAATATAACTAGTATGGTTATGGTAATCTGGAAAGTAATATTTCAGTGGCAGAGGTGACTCACAGCAACACAGAGAGATCACTCGTACCCTTGTTATAGATTCATGAAACCTTAGCTGCAACTGGCAGGTGGCTCAGTGGAAATGGGACATTGTTAGGAGGGAAAGGGGTATTATGGAAATGTACGTTACATGAGATCTAAACTCTCGATGTGCCCACAGACTAGCAAGGGATGCTGATGCTTTGATCTATTTTCTCACTTGTATTATCCTGCCTTTTCTTTGCTCGCTTTTTCGCTTTTGATCTTCGTCTGTTTGCTCTCTGTACACCTGTTACGTTCATCATAAAATAAAGCAATTCTGCTCATTTCAGGAAGTGAAGGCAGGTGGGGAAAGTGGGCACAGGTTCAGGGATAGTTAGGGCACTGAGAATGTATTTAAGAAACTGCTTGATGCGGCCACTGGAAAGTATTTCTTCACCCAGAGCTAGATAGGGTTATCAGGCCCGCTTCACAGGTGATGGGTTAGTTGGCACCTTTGCTGTGACTCAGTATCCCTGTTGTTAGCCCAAGGTCAGGCTGCTGCAGGTTTGATTTGATTTGTGGCTCTGATTGTGCCCCTCTACTTGAGCATAGAACACCATCGCATTGACCAATCTTTGGCAATAACATCTTGGCAAAAATAAATGATTGTGAAAAATTGTCTCCGAGTATCGAGGGCGACAAGCTCGGCATTAATTCTGGGAACGTTGATTTGGGCACGTCAGGAGCAGAAATAACATATCGCCTGCTACGTGGGTGTCCCTGGCACTGATTCAGGACCCCCGCCTCTTGCAGACTTTGCTCAGATCTCTCTTCCGTCGTGCTCTGCGCTCTATGTGTCACCCATGGAACAGCGGAATAGAGAATGTGAAGCATCATCTGGCCTCTCAGTGCTCGCAGGGACGTAAATTGAGTCTGACAGAATTGAACCTGGGTGTCATTTACTGCCTTGCCATGATCATGAGGGATGAAGGAAAATGGAGAGAATGGGGGGGGGGGGGGTGGGGCGAGGGGGCTGGTAAGCAGAAAGGACCCTGAAGAGCAAGGGAAGAGTGACTGTGCCTTGTGTGCTGTGTCACAGGCTGTGATCTTTAGAGGGCCAGAGGATTCCATCACTGGCTGAGCGGGAGATTGGCTGCGGCGGTCAAAGTTTAAACAGCCGATTGTGATTTGTTTTAAAAAAGAAATTTTTTTATATAGTTTTTTCTCTCCCTGTCTCTCTCTGCTTTCGGGCTCATGTTACGCGATGAGCTTTTCATGTCTGCCTGGAAGCTACAAAGGCACCTCCGGCAGGATCATAATTTACATGGTGTAATGATGTCCTTTTTAATCTGCTTTGTGTGTGCACGCTCTCGACACTGACTGCTGCATTCGCGACGATTAATGAATGAGCAGATTCGAACATCAGCTCTTCTGGAAATGTGACAGAGGTGGACTAAAGTCTCTAACGTCTCTGTGTGTGTGTGTGTGTGCTTTCTCACAGGTTCTGAACGTATCGCATTCACAGTTGCAGACTGCACTCGCTCGAAGCAGCTTGTAAGCCAGTGAGAACGAGGCTGCCAAAGAATGCTGTTGCCAAGCTGTCGAACGATGCCCACAGTCAGACCACTGGTGGTGCTCCTGTGCTTCTTGCTATGTGCTGATGCTGAGAGTAAGTCCACTTCCAAAGAGTGAATATGTTTAATTTAACATTGACACCAACCATCGCCTCAACACCCACACAATACACACATGCCCACGCACACGTATACCATGTATCAAACCTATTGCAGAACAAGTAGCAGTAGCTTTGTTTTTACTAGATTTTCATGTTATTCCCTGCCTCCCCCTCCCCGGTCCCCCTCCTCCCCCCCTCCCCCCCCCCCGTGCTCCTTTTATTATGTTGCTATTATGAGAAAGTAATGATCATCACTGTGACCATATTGCACACCGCTCCTGACTCTGTGATGCTGGCACCAGCCCTCCAGTTAACAGCAGGGTTGCCTCGGCTCAGCACAAATGCTGCTGTTTCCCACCCGACTGCAACATCCGGAACACGGCCCTCAAGGGCTGGAGGAGGACCATGAGAAGGTGTCCACGGCACCAGCTGACAACAGGCGGTCTTCATTAAACTGCTGCTCCGCCAATATAACACGCACCGTTCTTGCCGCTTGTTGGAAGATTTCTTTTAAAGAATTACTTGCTCGAGAAAGCTTCCTTCCTGTCGAAGCACCTCACAGTGACCATATGCATTGGCATCAGATGGCATTCACTGTTCCATTGCGCCATCTGCACTCCTACTGTCATGTCTTGAATGCCAAGAGTACTGGTCTCGATCCAGAAAATCAGTGTGAATCTAAGCCTCTCTCTCGATGCAGTCGTATTTCGTCCTTGCGCATAGTTTTGTTGAAGCCGTTTAATTGTTGCCTAATAAACAAAATTGCATGTTTCATTGAAAAATAAGTCACAAGGACAGGAAGGAGGCGGTGCCTGCAGCCTGTCATATATATCGTGCATCATACCTTGCACTTTGCAGTTTTATGTTTAACAGAGTAAAAGGGCTGATACCTGCCCGCTGACATACCGTGTGTTGAATTACCCAGTGCGCATGCCTTTCTAGGTGTGACGTCTATCAAGGACGCTGTACCTCTCACACAGCCTGACGTGAGACCCGCATTACACAGACACTGCCACACAAGGAGAGAGGATCGGTGACCGTGCCTGTAAACAGCACAGTTCACTGTAAATACCAACGCCCTTCACAGATTCAGGAAGTTATATTCTGGTACATTGTGATTATTAATGTACAATTACATTTCTTTCGCCTCTTCCCCTGAACAAGATAACCATCAAGTAGAGATTACAGCTCACAGATAGAGAGACGGGCCTCTCAGGGTAAAGGCCTGATGTTTCAATTGTGGCAGCCTGCGACTCTGAGCAATTATACGCTTGACATGCAATGTCTGAACAAGCTTTACTAAACTGGTGTTCTGGACAGGACCATCCAACTCGAAAACTCCCCGATGTGAACATACACCATAGTGCGCGTTACACCTGATAGGTTGCTACTTGCTTAGTGGTCAGTTAAATGCTGTGCAACTATCTATGTAAATCAGTTGTTGGTCTGCGATATGTGGTGACAGCCTTGCCACTGAAGAGCCAGTTGGAAGTTGATGTTAGCACCACTGTTACCCTATAAACAAAGGCAGCTCAGTCTCTTCAGTGTGGATATTGGGTATTATTTGTTCAGATGTAGCATCGTTTGAAATGTGTATTGGCTTGTTTTACCCTTACAAGGAAAGAAAAATTAAGGGATTCATTAATAGAGACTCAAGAGCCACTTAAGCCACTCTGCCCCTACCCTCTGGAACTCCATCCCGCAGTCCCCCCCGCCTCACCCTCTCCCTTGCCTGGTTCAAGACCCATCTCAAGACCCTCTTTGACCGTGCCTTCGGTCACCATCCTTCCCCCCGCCCTCCAACCTCCTGACCCCCAGCTTGGGTCCGAAACTCTGATTGTCCAGCGCCTTGGGAAGTCCTCCCAAAGTGAAAGGCGCCATACAAATTAATTTTATTGTTGTTGTTGTAGAGAGAAAGGAGTTGAGTTTCTTCAGATGTCGTGGCTAAGAATCCTCCACTTCATGGCTGGTTTGTGAGACGTTGCTGTGTGCAAATTGCCTACCGCGTTTGTCTACAGATAGACAGTCACTACGCTTCACAGGAATTCCTATGAAACGCTTTGAGATGTCCTCCCTGCAGGAAAGGCGCTATACTAAATGGAAGAATTATTATTAATAGTTATAATAATAATTCTCCAGTAACCACAGTATATCATGGCTAAGTTGCTGGATGGTCACTATCTCCGGGTTTCGGAGCAGGCACCACAAGTCGGTTGTGCCATAATGCCTGCTGGGATCAGATAGGATTTTCAGTTAGACACTGAGTCCATATTAATGATGCCTGATGGGAACCACTGTTTTTTTGACCCACATGCAGAACATGTTGGCAGTAACTTAAACACAGAGCAGAGTTGTATATCTCGATGTGCCTTATCTCGTCAAACAATCATAAAGTGCTTCACTCTGAATGCGGTGAAATGCAGCAACTGCTTGTGAGGGCAAACAAACTGGGTATTTGCACCAGCAAGATCCCAGAATTAGCCGATTGGTGTTACCTGGGGTTTGTCGAGCAGGACACTAGAAGAAACTCCCTGCTCTCTTTTGAGGAAAACAGCTTATCATCATGAAATGTAAGAGCTGCTTCTTAGAATGTCATTGCAAGTGAGCGCTGTGTACATTAGCTGCTGCATGTTAGACTGGATGGGTTGTTGCGAGGTACAAGTGTGAGACAGAGAGAAACACTTCGAGTGGTTGGACTTCTGACAGCTGAAATCAATACAGCTGATGTGATATTTTCTCATAATATACTGCATGAATTGATGTTTCACTTCAGTGGACTTGCTACAACTGAATTTGCGTGCTATAAATTATATGAATTATATGCCTGTCTGTAATTCGATTAGTAGTTTCGGCTGGCCGGGATGGGGAGGATAATTCCACACCTCTCAAAATCAAAAATTGGTTGTTTAAGACTGTTCTGTGTAATGTGACCCTGGTTCCACATATACTATCTAGTCATTCTTGTATCTCTTCAAGGAGAGCATGGTTACAAGCTAGGGCTCTTCAGTTTTGAGAGAAGACAACTCAGAAGGAACCTCATAGAGGTGCACAACATTTTAAATGTAATTTTAAAAGTAAACCAAGATCAACACTTTAGGATGCAACATCAACAACTTGCATTTCTATAGCACCCTTCATGCAGGGCAGAGTCTCAGAGCATTTATGACAGTACAACCAGGACAAAGGACTTAAGTTTAAAGTTGTAAAGGGTAAATTGAGGATAGATACTGGGATTTTTCTTTATGCAGAGGAACAGGTTGCCAGGAAAGGTAGTAGCGGACAGGACACTGGACTCATTTAAAAAAACAGCTTGATGCAGTGCAGGGTGAATGTTCTGGAGGGCTGAGATTGGATGTGCCTAAGGGTCTTCTTCATCCAGTCCCATCTTGTGATCTGAGCTTTTGGAGTACAAAATGTGTGTGTCCAAACAGTCTTCTTTCACAGCACTAAGCTCTTGAACATGCAGCAAAAGGGCTTCCTTCCTCTGTGAGTCTAGGAACAAGCAATGAGGTGGAATTGTAGTGAACAAGGCAAATGGCTGCAGGAAAGGGCTCCCTCCGGCTTGTCGCTAATCCCCCTGGAGGTGAAGTTGGCTTCATAGCGGCCATGTCTATTTGCCAGAGCCACTCGCGTGTGGACCTAGATTAAACAGCCGGCGCTGAGTAAGTCTGAGACAAAACATTGGATTCCGAGCTCAAGAACATTAAAGTGGCTGTCACGTCACAAGCTGTCTTGTAAAGGTCCTTCCATCGTGCTGAAGTGGGATATCCGTCAAATAACAGATGCAACTCTGAGGCTTGGAACAACAACTGCTGGAAGGTATTACCTGGAATCCAGGTTCGTGAACACATACTCATATATCCAGAGCTTGGTATCAACATTGATTGGTATGCAGAGAGGTATGCAGCTGCTGCTCAAGCTCAGCAACTCCAACTGGTGGAACTGTCACTTAATGAGCAATATATTGATGCCAATGCTCTGTTGTAAAATCACATAGAACTACATAGCACTGCACAGAACATTGCAGCATGGAATCAAGCAGTCAAGCCAGCTAGACCATGATACTCCACATAAGCCTCCACCTCTCCTAATCCCCTCTCCCATATCTCTTTTTTCCCTGCAGTTCCCTAAACTCCACAGAATTGGAGATTTTTTTTAATATATGTATTAAATACATTGTTTTAAGGGCATAATTGTCAAGAGGAGGTTGTTCTGTTCAGGAAAGAAAACCTAAAAACAACAGGATTTAGGAATGTGTCAGAAATCCCGTGTAAATCTCGTGTCAGCTTGAAGCTGTCTAAAATGTAATTATTATTGCGGGGCTAGAAGAGGGACTGTTTCATCTAAAACTCAAGCCACTGTTTGCAATCATTGTTTTTTTTTCAAAAAGCAAAGTTAATTAAATACAAATTTGTCTCCAATCAAATACATTTGTGAATTAAGAATTTTACAAGTTGGTGGAAAATGGGCCAAGTAATTGATTTTTTAATTAAGTAAATTAATTGCGTATAAATTACCACTTTGACTTATCGATCAAGGTATTTACAAACCATAGGATTGCAGGGGATGTAAAGTCCAGGGGGAGTACTTTTCCGTTAAAGTATTTTTCCCGTATTTAGAAGAAAGGGTATGGCCCCCTCCCCCCTGTGGCTACTAATCCTGCTCATCTACATGGTTTGGAATGTCTGCTGCATTACTCGGCCACCCTCCCTGTTAATGGTACAGGGGAGGATGAGATCAGTCTATCCTGGAATCTGACCATTGAATTTAATGATAGTAGCAGTGTTGCAGAAGCCTGGCTCAGTTATTAAAACTCTCACTTCTTGAGTCAGATTGCTGAGAGAGCACTACAAAGTCAGAATTGTTGTCCTTCGGTCTGAGGCTCTGTCTGCCTGTTCAAGTGGACATTAAAGATCTTGTGGCACTAATTACTTCATGGATGTTTGTGGGACATTGCTGTGCACAAATTGGCTGCCATGTTTGCTTACACTTCA